CAAGCGACCGGCGGTGCCTCATAGCGACCGGAAATCGGGTCTTGTTGGGCAACACCTTCAGCTGACCGGGTCAGACGCAAATCCAGCAACCCAGTAGGCGTGGAAAGCTGTTGTGAAGACTGACTCCTTACCGTAACCGATGGCCCAAGGCCGTCGAGTGCTACGGAGGCTGACGTAGTTAAGGTGGAGGACAAAGGTAGACTGGGCTCCGGCGGGCACAACTGTTGAGGTGGCTCAAAGGCCATAAGGCGATAACAATCTGAAGTACAAGCAGGCCATAGGCCACGGAAATCAGGCATCAGACATTCACTTGGAGTTTCCTGTTCTCTCGAGTCCGAGGAAATAAGTATCAAGCCTAAAATACAAAGAGTCTGGCTTAGTGATTTAGCAGGCACCTTGTGCCCCGACTCTGCATTTGACAGAGTAACAGTTTAACCAAATTCAACGTGCCCTGCAAAGTCCATCTAAAAATTACTTCAAACATTAGATACTCGAATCAGGTCATGTATGCTGAAAATGATGATGCTGTTGATGATGGAAATGAAGATGGTGATGATAATGACGATTATAATAATGCTAAACGTGGTCTTTATTGTGCTGACAGTGTGGATCATGATAATTATAAACGTATTAATATTGTTACTGATAATTATATTGATTCTAACAAGGATATAGATAACGATAACGATAAATATATCGTTAATGACAATAATAATTAAAAGTAAAGTGAAATAGATATTGATACCGATACTGATAATGATACTGTTAATGATACACACAATGATACTAATACTGGCAGTGATAATAATACTAATATGATATTGATAATGCTATTGTTAGTGCCAGTGATAATGATACTGATACTGATATTGAGGTTGATAGAGATTTACATTTAAATTAAATATACACTGATAACGATCTTTATAAGAATACTGATAATTATATTGATAATGATGACGATACTCATTTTGACAGTAATGCTGATATTAATACTGATAATGATCCTGAGAATGGCATTGCTAATGATACTGACAACGATACTGATAATAATACTGATACTGATACTGATACTGATA